CGTTCCGTGCCTCCCCCGGGTGAAACGACCTAGGAGGAAATGGGCGCAGGCAGCAGGCACGCATCAGGCGTGTAGCAGGAGGATGGGGAGGATGGGGAGGAGGAGGAGGAGGATGAGGAGGAGGAGGGACTGAGTATGAGCAGACGAGCGAGGTGAAGGATAGCGGCGATGACGATGACTATTGCACAACGATGAGCAAGGCGAGCGCGACTTGCTGCTGACAGTGCGCAGGAGGAACAGCAGAGGAAACTAGGACCATCGGCAGGACGCTCTTCACTTGGCGCCCGACGACGGGGCGCGCCAGCCCGCGTGTAGTAGTAGTATTAGTATTATTATTATTATTGTTATTATTATTACTAGTAGTAGCAGTATTAGTGGTAGTAGCAGTAGTAGCAGAAGCAGTAGTAGCAGTAGTAGCAGTAGTAGCAGTAGTAGTAGTAGTAGTAGTAGTAGTAGTAGTAGTAGTAGTAGTAGTAGTAGTAGTAGTAGTGGTAGTAGTGGTAGTAGTGGTAGTAGTAGTAGTAGTTGTTGTTGTAGTCAGTAGTAGTAGCAGTAATAGTAGTAGTAGTAGTAGTAGTAGTAGTAGTAGTCGTCGTAGTAGTCGTAGTAGTCGTAGTCGTAGTCGTAGTCGTAGTCGTAGTCGTAGTCGTAGTCGGTAGAGTCGTAGCAGTAGTAAGTAGTATTAGTAGTAGTATAGTAGTAAGTAAGCAGAGTATATTAGTACAGTCGAGTAGTTGTAGTCGTAGGCAGTAGTTGTAGTAGTAGAAAGTTAGTAGTAGTAGTAGTAGTATGGTATAGTTAGTAGTAGTAGTCAGTAGTAGTAGTAGTAGTAGTAGTAGCGTGTTAGTAGTAGTAGTAGTAGTATAGTTGGTTAGTGTGTAGTAGTAGTCGTACAGTGTAGTAGTAGTAGTAGTCGTAGTAGTAGTAGTAGTAGTAGTAGTAGTAGTAGTAGTCGTCTATAAGTAGTAGTAGTAGTAGTCGTAGTAGTAGTAGTAGTAGTAGTAGTAGTAGTAGTAGTAGTAGTTGTTGTTGTAGTAGTAGTAGTAGTAGTCGTCGTCGTCGTAGTAACGTAATAGTAGTAGTAGTAGTAGTCGTAGTAGTCGTAGTAGTAGTAGTAGTCGTAGTAGTAGTAGTAGTAGTAGTAGTAGTAGTAGTAGTAGTAGTAGTAGTAGTAGTAGCAGTAGCAGTAGTAGTAGTACAAGTAGTAGTAGTCGTAGTACTAGTAGACGTAGTAGTAGTCGTAGTAGTAGTCGTAGTAGTAGTCGTAGTAGCCGTCGTAGTAGTAGTCGTAGTTCGCAGTAGTAGAACCTCGCGAATAATATCCAGAAGACGAAACACAGCGCCTTGTTAGCCACTCGGATGCTGGATTGGCTCGTCAGTACATAGACCCAGATACAATGCACCACTGGTTTTAACCAGGGTTTGACTGAGCACTGGATTCGCCACTGGCATTCTCTTCGCTGGTCGACATGAAAGATGCAGGGTCGTTCGCTCAAAAAGGACAGGGGCTGTCAAAACACGAGAAGCCATTATAAAGCGCGACCACAAGAGGGCCATCATCGAGGACACACATGCTTCGAGCATGCGGCCGCAGGCTCCAGAGGCGTCGGTTGCACATGCTTCGAGCATGCCGGCCGCAGGCTCGGCCGCCCCATGAGACGCCCATCGAGGGACCCCACTTGCGCAAGACACCGTGGGTCTGGTCTCACGGTGATGGTCGGGGGTGCTGCGCCGATCTGAATATGACACCATGCAGCGAGCAGTTGACGGAAGACGACTACGAACAAGCCGCGGCCCAATACATATTCCAATCTACTAAGGTAAGAATCTTTGACCTGATCACTATTTAAAGATATCCAACCGCGAGTACAACGCGGGGAAACCTGCTTCGCCAAACCCGAAGAGGACGACCAGCAACAAGATGATGAAACTGGGGATATGGCCGAAGCGGTAGACCCCGCGGCAGAAGCTCCTGCAGGCTACGCCTCGGATTACTCCGACGCCATCCCCACTGCCACGGACGTCACTTACGAAAGGGACACCCCCATTGTTGCGAAAGACACGGGTCTTTCCCCAAACAGATGGGTCGTCTACCGTGCTGGATCTGCAGGTTGGTGGGTAAAGACCAGAATTGCAAGAAGGCTTGGCGCTGACAACTATGACCTGACGGTCAGGGGCAAGGCTACTAATGGGAATACGGCCTTCAGAAAGCCTGATGGCGTAGACTTCAACCCTGGCAGAGGGCCCGTGCGGCATGGGCCATGGATACCCGCAGGGGCAACGCCGAAAGCACCTCCTCCCAGGCCGAAGACAGATCCACCTACTGGTATATCTCCATCTTCGGATTCGTCGAGTCAGTCTAGGTCACTCGGACCTGATCAGCTTGCGCCGCCGCCTAAACAGAAGAAGAGCAAAGGCCCAGATGACCCCAATCCTGGAGATAGCAAGCAACAGCGACATGCGGGGCAACCTGTTGATCGACGTCGACCCAGGGGACCAGCAGTGGCCGCCGCAGCAGCCACATGTCCAGTCGCCGTCACTCCTACTCCGAAGGACCCAGTACCACGCTGCGGCCCTACACCTGGCCGGACACACAGGACTTGGCTGGACGCCTACACTGGAGTGACCATCAAGCGATGCTTCTTCATCCCGGGGTGGTGCCGAGAAGAGGCCATTGGAAATTATATCAAAGGCATCGGGGGTAGCTCTCAATGACAAGAAGTGCCAGCATTACAACATCAATGAGAAGAAACGTCAGGATTCCGACATCAGTACCCCGCCGAGGACCCCTCGGACGCCCACAGGATCCGCAGGTGCTGCCTTGTCTTCGGCAGGTGCCGGCGCACCTGCAGCATCGGTAGCAGATCAAAGCACTGCGGGGCAACCTGCTCTTATTTTGGAAATGCCCGTTGAATGCCGACAGTTTTGGGGCTGTATACGCACCACCAGGCGTACGAAGATCAACCCAGCATATCACCCCCGTAATGATGACGGGTCTGATCGATACATCGTGGTGAAATGCGACATCCAGGATGTCGCCGTCAACGCTAGGAGGCGAGAGTTGCGCAGATTACTTCGAGATCTCGCGCGCCTTTCTTCCGTGGGTTGCGAACTGCGAAGCTGACTTGTCACTCGCTGAGGCTCGTGGGAAACACGGCGGAGCGCAGGGCCGCCCACATCGCGCAGATTTCGCGATATGGTTTTGGGGGTGTTGAGCGTTCATACGAATAGGATGGTAGCCTCACGTGGACACAGGGGTGGGATGCGTTTCGGGTAACTGTTTCTGCTGAGGCTTGCGATTTGGGATGGTATGCCGTTCCAACATATTGCATCCTTGATCACCAGAAAGAGCTTCGAACACCAATCGAATACCCACACAGGAGGGTTTTCATGTGTGGGGCCATGGGAGGCGGGAAATACTCGTTCGACACTGCTTCGATTTTTCTGGGTGTTCGGAATTATTTCTGGGATGTGGTCCTTGGGTACGATGGGAACAACAGTACCAGGTGTAGATTTGCATGTGCCTTTCGTTTCGTTTCTCTGTTTGGAAGACGGGCGGACTGGCGGGCGGAGAGACGGACGGACGGAGGAACGCCAGGTGCCTCTGCAGGCAAAGGGTTTCGCTCCTGCGCGGCTTTGCCGGGTCTGCCCGTCGCCCCGTGGTCGCAGGAGTGCAAGGCGGACGCTGAGCAGGGCAAAGCTCGCAAGGCCGCGGGGGTCGGGGAAGAAGGAGGAGGAGGAGGAGGCGGAGGAGGAGGAGGAGGGAGAAGGGAGGACGGAGGGGAGGATGAGCAGTATGAGTCGGATGCCGGGGGGGGGAGAAAAGAGGGGGATGATGATGACGCTCAAGGAGGAGGGAGGAGGAGGAGGAGGAGGAGGATGAGGGAGGAGAGGAGGAGGAGGAGGGAGGAGGAGGAGGAGGAGGAGGAGGAGGAGGAGGAGGGAGGAGAGGAGGAGGAGGAGGAGGAGATAGGAGGAGGAGGAGGGGGGGAGATGAGGGGATGAGGAGATGAGGAGGAGATGAGGAGGAGGAGGAGGGAGGATAGGGAGGAGGAGGAGGGGATGGAGGACGGGAGGGAGGATGAGCAGTATGAGTCGGATGCCGGGGGGAGAGAAAGAGGGGGATGATGATGACGCTCAGGAGGAGACGAGAAGGAGGAGGAGGAGGACGATGAGAAGGATGAGGAAGGAGAGGGAAGAGGAGGAGGAGGAAGAGGATGGGGAGGAGGAAGGAGAGGAGGAGGAGGAGGGAGGAGGGAGGAGGGGGGGATGATGATGATGATGATGATGATGATGATGATGATGATGATGATGATGATGATGATGATGATGATGATGATGATGCTGATGATGATGATGATGATGCTGATGCTGATGCTGATGCTGATGCTGATGCTGATGCTGCTGATGCTGATGCTGATGCTGATGCTGATGTGATGCTGATGCTGATGATGATGGTGATGTGTGGTGGTGATGATGATGATGTGATGAGATGATGATGATGATGATGATGATGATAGGAGGAGGAGGAGGAGGAGAGAGGACGAGAGGATAGAGGAGGAGGAGGAGGAGGAGGAGGAGGAGGAGTAGGAGAGGGAGGGGGAGGGGAAGAGAGGGAGGATGAGGATGGTGATGAGTAGAAGGATGGGGTGGGTAAGAGGGTGGAAGCGGGCAGTGATGTAGATGACGAGGGGAGGCGACGGTGATCATGCTGATGACTATGCGGAGGACGAGGAGAAGTTGTACGGCGCGAGGAGAGGGGAACAGGAGGTAGAGGAGCAGCAGGAGGTGGATGAAGATGAGGAGGAGGAGGAATGCCATGATAATGCTAAGGGCGATGGTGATGAGGAGTTGGTGGGCGAGAGTGAAAAGGTGCAGTGCGGAGCAGGCGGTGAAGGAGCGTGCGGCCAAGGAAGACCGTGACGAGCAGGTGTCGGGACGAGCAGTCTTCCGCGGGGGTGTCGGCTCGGTAGCGCGCGAGGCGATGCCCACGGCGCCCATCTTCCTGGAGAATCCAGACGGCACGATCACCGAGGCATTGGGTTTTGGTCATCCCTGAGGAGGTTCGAGCGAAGACGGGTAGGAAAGGTGGTGGGATGACGGGGAGCGGAGGATAGAACTCATAAATGCACGGTGGTCCCCAACGCGATATTTGATATTTCTTCGAAATTTGTGTACACCCCTACTGCAACCACGCAAATGTCACCACGACACGTTTCGGTGGGGACGTTAGTATTTCGGTCAGGGTGTGTAGCATGTACATATATTTATATGTGTATACACATCTATCTGTTGAACGTGTGATCTTCTTGCCGGCCAGCATATAGGATTGCCGTTGATTGGCTGTTCTCAGGATCTGTAGACGGCGTTCGGTTCATGTCGGCACGGCAGCATGTTCAAAGCACTGCTTGGGCTCGGATTCCCCACGACTTGATTGCAGCACTAATCCGGGAAGTACCTAGCATGTCGGCACTGTTGAGTGTTACTTTCAGCAGGGAGGCAAGCTATGAGGTAGTAAAAAACGCAGTCCGCCCTCACCATGATGGTAGATTGGGCGATCTCAGAGTCACAGTCAAAGTGGGCAAAGGAATGCATTGTTCACTTCGGAAACTTCCTGGTACCCATGTGGCTTGGGCAGGATGAGGGACTCAGAAATGGTATCCTATAACGTGCTGGTGGTCTTGTCGTGCTAGGGTTTCAATAGAAATCGTTGTCTCTCATGTGCATGATGTGTGGAGCACATCGCGTCACCCTCATTGCAGGTTCAGTTCCTGGAGCCACGGACGTCCAGGAATTCCAGGCATCTGACGGGTTGGACGCCTTCCCAACGGTGACCATCTACAGCGGCGACGCCGTCAAACAATTTGGTGAAGCGCTTTGTCACAGCTGAGGGCCAGGACACGTGCAACGCATGCGCCTGCCACGGAAAGAGGTTCGATCGCAGCCAAGTTGAAGCTGTAGTCTTAGAACCAGCGCCGAGCGCAGCCCACTGTTTCCCGACTTCACATTTGACCCAACGTAGCGTGTTGGTGCGAACCCGCCTATGAAAATTCGTTGTACTGCGGACGATGCTCGGTTTCTGTCGGAAGCCAAGAAGGGAGCAACATATGTTCGTGACCCACACGGCCAGCTTATCACATGGGGTGCATTAAGTTGAAGGAATGACGGTCGCTACATCTGTAAAACAAACCCACCAGGGCGAAAGCCAGCACCCCGCGCATGGCGGTGACACCAGTCGTGTGTCCTACGCGCGACAAGCACGGAGTCGACTATGATGGGACACGGCCCAACACGCATGGAGCGAGAAGTTGAGGAGGAGAGCGGGTATAGTGCGCGTGGGATACGGCCGCCGCGTCGAATGCATTACTTTCAATTTGTGATTGCGAACACAAAGGAGCGGCCCCATATGTGGACAGCCTGCCATGCACAGGCGGTGTACATGAAGTTGCAGTTTTGCCTTCGGACGTTTCATTTGTGACAGGTGGGGGCTGGTCATGACGTTGATACCGAAACAGCGGACGGTGCGTAATAGGCAGTTGCCCGAAACGAGGGGGATGGCCGCGCAACGATGCAAACGGATGCACCAGATACATCTTGGGACGCGTGCCATTGGAATTGGTCGTCATCGTTGGCTGTCTGCCATCTGACCCAAGCATTCAAGCATAAACCAGTTCTCTCTTGTATTCCTCGGGATCCGTTTACCACGCCAGATTGGGGGGGGCAAGCCAAGTCGTTTGGCGCTCGAGGAGTTCAACAATATCGCCCATAATCCTGTGAAGCACCCAAGATTCACGCACTCAAATGTTGGGCTTCAGTCTTTCCCGACAGTCCCGATTCACCTTCTGGGAGCGAATTCAAGCTGGAACATATCGCATCGAAGCCCATAGTTCGTTTAATGTATTTTGCCTTCTTCGAGTGTGTTGAGTCCGGTTGGGTAGGTGTTTGAGTGCCCTCTGGGTCCGTCGTGGGCCGTCTTGAGGCCATCTTGGGTCGTGTTGGGCCCTTGGACCCTTCTTTGGGCCACCTTGGTGCGTTTCAGGAAGCCTCCTGGACCTCTTGGCCGCCCTTGGTGCCCCTCTTGGTTTCCAGAGGCAGCCGAGAGCAGCGATGGTTCTGAGGCACACACCCCAGGCGGCTTGTTTTGACGCGTGGGCCCTGCTAGTAGGCAGTGCATAAAAGACACGACTGGAGTGATACGAGAGAAGACAAAAGACATAACCATAGATTTCATGACGGCAACTGACACCAGCAGAACAGCATACCAGCAGGGTGTCCTCCTTCTGGCGCTCCCAAGGGGGCCGGCGAATGTCCAATCCCGTGCCATTCTTCCCGCCGCGGCTTGGGATTTGGACCAATTGCAGTAGAGACCCATGCCAAGAAACAGCCTGCTTGCCTCCAAGGTGCCCTGGGTTTCTTCGGTTTCGATGGTTTTTCGATGGAGAGCGTGACGTTCCCACGCCACACATCCATGGACAGCCTGGGGCCTCAGGATTGGGCTTCGTGTGGAAGGTTTTCTCTGGTCGAGCTCCTGCTGTAGGATCTGAACCAGTTGTTGGTTCGCAGCGCGCGGCCGTCGCATCAGTGACCCGGGCCCCGCAGAAGAGGACCGGGGGCGGAGTTCGCAGCCCTTCGGGACGGGGGCCGCAGCACACGGGAGTCGGCCAGGGCGCCGGTTCCTGCAGGATCCTGCAGAGCCCGGGGTGCACTGCCCCGCGCCAGCGAGCAGGATCTTGCAGGATCTCAGGGGCGGCCAAGAGGAGGGCGATTACCAGTGGTGGGGGGGGGGTATCATCACGGGGACCATGATATCTCCCATTTTAATAGGTCCCCGGCCCCCCACTGGGCCGCGCACATGCCACTGGCCATGATTTGCGCCCCCCCCTCTTGGACGCCCCCCTCTTGGACGCCCCCGATCGCAGGTTCTTGCAGGATCCTGCGAGGACAGGCTGACCCGGGTTTGGACCTTCGTGTGTCCTGGAAGCGGCAGGGCCGTTTTTGTTACCAGTTCCGTTGTGCCGTTTCGTTGCCGGTCCTAGCGCCGCTTTTCTTCCAGTTCCGCTGCCGTTGTCTTGCTGCCTCCGATTCCCGTTCCTATTCAGCAGCTGTTCCATTTGCCGTTTCGGGTTGCCTCTCTGTACCGGTTCCAGTTTCAAGAGACACTGCTTCGGAGATGATGAAACAGCGGCCCTGCCGCTTCCGGGGCTCACTAAGGCCAATGTTCGGATACAGCTCCTGGGAGGTCAACCTCTGACTTTGTCCTGGTGCGAAAGCGGGCATGATACTCGGGCCGGGCGAAAGGGGGGGATTGGGAAAGGGGGGGGTTCGAAATTTGCTGCATGCAGCTGATTTCGGCCTCACTGAGGGGCCCATTCCTCGATACACAGTCGCCTCCGGCGCGGGGAGGCGCCGGGAAAATCAGCTACGTGAGCTGATTCTCAAACCCCCCTTTGCTATCCCCCCCTTTCGCCGACCCGAGATGCGGCTCAATCCCGTTCGATCCTGGCGAGTTCGGCCCGGTCCCGCTTCATCCGCGGCCTAGCCCAGCGTAGAAGCCCCCCAATGGGGCCGAATTCTCCTTGTCGGAGGGCACCAACTATACACCAACACCGATCCTGGCCCAGGATCACCCTGGGCCCAGGATCGGTGTATATGCCTTCTTGCCCAAGGCAGGAGGGCGTATACACCGATCCTGGGCCCAGGGTGATCCTGGCCAGGATCGGTGTTGGTGTATAGTTGGTGCCTTCCTACCTTGATCCATCCGACGGGGTCCTCCCAGCAGATGCCTCCTCGCTACGGTTCGGGCCGGCCTGCGTCGGTGCGCCTCCGAGGGCGGCCCCTTTCCTTGCGGCGCCCGGCCCCCCTGCGGGCGCAGGCTGTTCCCTCCGGCTTCCGGGAGGCGAAGCCCAAGTCGGGCCGCCGCTCGCGGGAGAGGCCTCCTGCGCCGAGGAGGAGGGCGAGGAAGTGGATGCGTGGGAGGGGGGGAGGAGGAGGAGGAGGAGGAGGAGGAGGAGGAGGAGGAGGAGGAGGAGGAGGAGATGGAGGAGGAGGAGGATGATGATGAGGAGGAGGATGACCAGTGTAAGCCCAAGAGCCATCGACGATGGCGGAATATACCCTCCCTCCAAGCACCCTCTTCATCGCCCCTACAAGGGTTCATGTTCACTGAGGGGACTGTCTCGTTGGAAGACAACCGCTTGAAGACCAGGAAGCATGCCAAAACATTATTCTCGGGATTGCAACGCCATGGATCAACCTGACTGTTGCGTCTTGACGATCCTGAATCGTGCCAGAACGCCATTCCTGGGGCTTCGTCAGCGCGAATCCAATGTTTGAAACGAATGTGCGCGGCGCTAAGGCGACATCCACATTTCGAAAACCACCCGCCCTCCATCCGCGAAACATTTCCAATTTATTGAAACGAATGTGCGCGGCGCTAAGGCGAGAGCTACAGTTTGAAAAAACAAGGCGCCCTCCATCCGTGAAACTCTTGTAAATGTTCAAAACGAATGTGCGCGGCGCTACGGCGAGAGCCACATTTGGACAACCACCCGCCCTCCATCCGTGAAGCTCTCGCATGTTTTAAAGCGAATGCGCGCGGCGCTAAGGCGAGAGCTACATTTTGAAAACAAGTCGCCCTCAAACCATGAAGCTCTTGCAACCGTTTCATACGACAGTGCGCGGCGCTACGGCGAGATCCACATTTTGAAAACCACCCGCCCCCATCTGTGAAACGGTTGCCATATTTCAAGCTTCAGAGGCATGAACGGTGAGCAAGTCTCACGCGAAACGCCCGGCACGCTCTAAAATTTGCTTCGGGGTGCGACAGGGAGAAGTTATTTAGAAGGAGAAGGAATGGAGGAGGAGGCGGAGGAGGATGAGGAGGAGGAAAAGGAGGAGGAGGAGGAGCGACGAGGAGGAGGAGGAGGAGGAGGAGGAGGAGGAGGAGGAGGAGGAGGAGGAGGGAGGGAGGGAGGGCGGGAGGGAGGGAGGGAGGGAGGAGTGTGAGGATGACGATAAGCAGGAGGAGGGGGCGGAGGTCGAGGGTGGAGGGAAAGCAGGAGGACGAGGAAGAAGAAGAGGAGGAGAAGGATGATCAGGAAGAGTTCGGGGGCGGTCAAAGAAGGGGGTGATGACTAGGCGGGGTATATATCTTGGCGGAGGCCATGATGATCTTCCCAGATTCATGGTGCCTCTTTTTATTTCAATATGTCCCGGTTCTCCCCTGGGCCGCGGACAGGCCACCAGCCATGATTCGCGCCCCCCCCCCTCTTTGACGCACCTTCTTGGCCGTAGGACGAGGGTCAGCAGGAGGAGGAGAGGGAGGTGGACGAGAAGCAGGAGAGGAGGCGGAGCTGGAGGGTGGAGGGGGGAAGCACGAGGACGAAGGGGGAAGGGCGTGAGCACGAGCATGTGACAAAGTCAACTGAGGATGAGACCTGCGCTCACATCATCTCCACCAGGAGGGCAAAGGATGTGCAGAATACAATGGTGACGCCCAACACGAATCCGGCAGACTAACAGTATGGGTGTAGCCGTCATCTTATTCTCGCCTGCAACATACACGTTGATATCTCGTTATTCAGTTTTGCATATGGGTGCGACTTTCACATTATTGTGAAAAGCCCTGCGGCCGAGTCCGCTAACCCTTAAACATGTCACCCAGGACGGACGAGGAGGGCGGAGGCGCGCGAAGGAAGCAACGGTGGATGCCTCTGGAACTAGTTTGGGTCCTCTTGGGGCCGTCTTGAGACCGTTTTGGAGGCCTCATGGGCTATCTTATTTCTCTCTTGGGATGTCTTCTAGCCATATTGCAGGCTTCTTGGGCCGTCTTGGGGCTGTTTGGGGCCGTTTGGGGCTCTTTCGAGCGATCTGACTGGGGGGTCTCTTGGGCCCGTCCTGGGGCCGTCGGCAGACGCCGAAGGGGTGCTCCTCGGCCGCTTTATGCTGGGCATCTTGGGCCGCCCCGGGGCGTGCTGGGGCTCCCTTGGAGCTCTCTGGGGAGGCCTCGCGTGGGCCCGTCTTGGCGCGATCTTGGAGACTTTGTGGACCGTGTTGGGCGGTCTTTGGGGCCTCGTGGGCCGTCTCGGCGCGATCTTGTGGGCTGTCTGCGTGGTCGGAAGGCCGAACAATTGAGAACGCGCAGTTCAAAGGAAAACCCAATGACATCAATCATTTCTGACTCTCTGGGCTCTCCTGGGGTGCTTCTGGAGCCCACTGGGCGCACCTTGGGGCTTCTCGGGCCGTCTTGATGACGGCTGGGCCCGTCTAGGAGCGCTCTTGGGTCGTTTCAGGGCCTGTTGGGTCCGTCGCAAACCAGAGTTGCCGGAAGAGTGCCAAGTTGACCCGAAAACGATCCAGAAAAGACAGTTTATCAGGAGGGGGGAAACCACTGACGCAAATATTCGTCGACTCCCAGGGAAATGCGAGTAAATATAGGAAGTGGGGGGAAGACGGAAACCCAGAGACTATGAGAAGATGTGGGGGATCCTGGGATCCGTGTCTGAGTGTGTGCCCCTGGGCCCCCCTGAATGTAGTCGCCACGGCGCGCGGTGCTACTGACAAGGGGGTACCCCCGCCTCGCCCGGGCGGGAAAGGGGTCAAAGAGAAGGAGCGTCCCTTCGACGCAGTTGCGACCAAGGCTCCATTCAAGCGTTGATTTGGGCGATCTCGTGGCCCGTTTTCGTCCTGATTCCGTTTTTCGGGGGTGGGCAGAACCCCCAGTTTGACACGCCGATTAGTGAATCGTTCGTTTTCGGTTCTCGAGGGCGCCGCGGCCGTTATTTCCAGGCTTGCGCCCGCCAGGTTTGGGCCCGAGGTCGTTTTCACTGAACCACGGTTTGCTAAAGGGGGTTCTGTCCATCCCCGAGTTTCGCCGTAAATCTAGGCCTCCTAGATGGTCCGAGTAGATGGGGGTCGAGGATCGCGCCGCATCGTTGATGCATTGGCGATGCGGCTCGATGTGGAGCCCGATTGATTCTCTGGCTTACGCCACACCGCCGACCCCTTGGGGTGCTTTGTTTGGGTGCGTCGTTTTTTTTTGTGGGGCGGGCCCTGGGCAGTCCGGCTGCAGATGCAGGCTTTGTGGTGTACGTGTGTTTTCCGGGTAGGGGTGGAGGAGGGGGGTCTGAAAGGGTTTTAGGGTTTAGGGCTTACACCACGTATTAGCGTTCGCGGGGTTTGCCGCGGCCACGATCCTTCGTAAAAAAACGTAAGAATCGCATCGCGACGCTAAGATTTCGGGTCCGCCGATGCCGCGATCCCTGGTAAAACACATAGGATTCGCGTCGCGGCGGCAAGATCTCGGAATTGCCGATGTCGCAATCTTTCGTAAAGCACGTAGGAGCCGGCGCACGCGCTGAGCTCCTGCCTCAGAGATAACCATGAACCTGAAGTCGTTTTGCTCGCGCTGTTCGCTCTTGGCCCCTGGGAAAACAAGTGGCACGCGTGCCCTGGCTCTTGCACAAAGGAGCTGCGAAGGACAGGAGGCCCCCGCTTTCGTTTTTCAGGAGGAGTTTACGAGGAGCCAGAAAGGAAGTGGAGGAGGAGGAGGAGGAGGAGGACGACGACGAGGACAACAACGACGAAGACGACGACGACGACGACAGTCGTCGGCGGCGCCACGATGCGCGGCTCTCCGCCCGCGGTCGCCGCCGCTGCGCCGCCGCAGGGGGGGGAGCAGTCCCGGGAGGCTCGGGGGAGGGGGTGCCGCGGCCCAGGGGAGCCAGAGGGGGCCCAGGTGGACGAACCACAACGACGAAAATAAAGGAGTTCGAGCTCTAGAACACAGCTTTGCAAGAGAATAAACGGTTCGTGGCCCAGGGGGGTTGCCCTAGGAAGCCTGGGCGGAGGGGGGCTCCCAAAGGCTCCCACGGGGGGGGGGGGGCCAGAGGAGCTGGGTCTCAAGGGGAGGGGCCCAGGGGGACGAGCGAACCACGACGAAAATAATACGGCTTCGGCGGCCCAGGGGGGTTGCCCTGGGAGGCTCGGGGGGAGGCTCGGGGCAGGGGGGTCCTGGGAGGCTCGGGGGAGGGGGGGGTCCAGGGACGACGAACCACGAACGAACCACGAAAATAAAAGCTTCGGCGGCCCAGGGGGGCACCACGAAAATAAAGGCTTCGGCGGCCCAGGGGGACTGCCCTGGGAGGCCTGGGAGGCTCGGGGGAGCTGCCCTGGGAGGCTCGGGCGGAGGCTCAGCGGTCCAGGGGGGCTGCCCTGGGAGGCTCGGGGGGGTAAGATTTCGGGTCCGCCGAGGCCGCGATCCCTCGTAAAACACGTCGGATTCGCGTCGCGGCGGCAAGATGTCGGAATCGCCGATGTCGCGATCCTTCGTAAAACACGTAGGATTCGCGTCGCGACGGTTTGCGCGGAGCGCTTGTCGGGCCACCTCGGAAGCGCTCCTGCTCGCACAAGCTCGCACGGAATGCTTGTCGGGCCGCCCTGGAGGCGCTCCCGCTCGTGCCAGCTCGCCGCACGGAGTAATGCTTCGCGGGCCACTCTGGAAGCGCCCCGCTCGCGCCGGCCCGCACGGAGCGCCTGTCGGGCCGCCGCGGAAGCGCCCCCGCTTGCGCCGGCTCGCACGGAACGCTTGCTGGGCCGCTCTGGAAGCGCTCCCGCTCGCGCAGGCACCCACGGAGTGCTCGTCGGGCCGCTCCAGGGGCGCTCCGGCTCGCACGGAGCGCTTGGAAGCGCCGGGGCGCGCCTGGGAGCGCCTGGGCATAGATTTCGGGCCTGCCGACGCCGCGCTGGATTCCGGCAAATCTGGCAGATTCTGGCCGACCCGGCAAAATGTCAGTGGCTCCACAAAAACGGCTCCCAATACACATTTTCTTTATGATTTAATTTGGTTTCGGGCTCCAGCACGTCCCGGCCCAATTTCGAGCGGCCCGCTCGCGCCAGCTCGCACGGAGTGCTCGTCGGGCTGCTCCGAGGGC